TGAATTGTGAAAGGACACTCTTTTAATGATCAGTGTTCTGAAGGAAAATTCATGGGTTATTTTTCTAGAAGAAATTACAAGATTGGTAATTAAGAGGCTAAAACAGCTTATCAGTGTGACTACCAGCAGCTTTTGACGTTGGCTTCCTTTGTTAAAATCCTGAATTTGCTTCTGATTAGGTTCATAACTTCTGGTGAGATATTTAATCCTGTCATTCATCCTTACATCATCACTAAAATGGACATGAAACAATGAATGCTACTCAACAGAGTTGTTTCTTGGATTAAACTAATTAAAATATTTAAGTAATGTCTACCTCAAATCTATATTAAAAAAGCGTTATTCATACATTGTATAGAATAATATTCAGCTCATGAGAAGCTAATACACAGCCCATGTTATATGGGCAGAAAAAAATCTCAGAAATCAATAAAATTGTATAGAGGAATAGGTCTATATTATTAGAAATTTAATTTCTAAATTAATTTTAAGTATAGACTAATATTGAGGAAAATTCCATTAGATCATTCAAAATAACAGAAAAATTTAATACAGATTGCTGAAAATCCGTTGTGTGAAATATTATTTATGACTGCATTTCAAAATATGTGATGTGTCACTGGGAAACAAAACACCTTAAATAATTACAGGTCTTTATATATTTCTATATTTCAAAAATATTTCATGTGGGCTAGAAACATTTAAAATTAAGTAATTAATATTCTCTGGAAGACAAAACAAATGTTCAACATTCAGTTACTAACTGTAATTAAGGTTTTAAAATGTGTGTCTTAATTATTACTTAAATTTTAGTACATTATTCAACCAAAATGTGTATGTCTTTTCATAAACAAAATTAGGAAATTACAGGTATTCCTGATATATTTATTTTTTAAAAATCAGCTTTTCAACTATATTTCTGGCATTGTGTCAATCACAACTGTTTTGAACTTTCTATAATTGATGAAGTAATTACTTTTCATGCTTTTAAGTCATGTCTGCATTTTGTAGCTATTAACCAATTTCCTGCTTTGCTCTGAGCTAAATTAAATTACAACACTAATACCAGAAGGGTCCCCAATAGTTTTTCCTCTCCATGTTAATAAAAACAATCATCAGTGTAGATGAAGCATTTTGTCCTGGTAAATAGAATACAGGAAAAACGGTGTTAGAGTTGACAGATGACATCTCCTATTCTTTAGTGTTTATTCTACTGCAACAGCAAAACTGTGGGACGATGTAAGCAAATGATGTGGCACAATTGTTTAGTGACTCCAAACAGCAACATTTGCTTTTTTCTTGCACAGTTCACTGCTCCCTACTCTCTCCTTTGATAAGAGTGTAGAATGAATGGAAATATATTTTTGTTCTGTTCTTGCTTGCGTGGCTACATGGCTGTAGCTAGTTAATTTAAGCCAGGACCTACAGAACTTCTCAGTTATGTGCCTCAAATAATTTCAACAGCCATTGGTTTTAAAGTGGAAATTCAATCCACAGAAATTCATGGTGTATGTTGAATGTTATACATATAAATGGATATGATGTATCTAGCTCAAAATTAGTAGGCAATTATTAGAATTATGCATTCAAAAGATCGTGGTGTAAATAATCTAAAAAGAAATTTTAAAAATTAGCCATGCTGAAGTTTAATATAATACACAGGCCATAAACACAAGCAGTAATGAATACTAATGTCTAATAATGAAAAGCTCATCATATTTCACAACACGGAAAGAATTTTAATAGGATGTCCATGATTTTTTGCACATGAATAGCACATAGCCACCTATTTTATTTAAAAATGGACTGCAGTTTAAACACCTTAAACTAAAATGTAACCAACTTCATTGCCTGTTTCCAGTAAAGAACAGTAGAAAAATAATTTTCATAAGAATTAAAATGAATACAGAATATTTTATCCTTTTTTTACACTGAACTTTTTATTGTTAAATACATTCTTACTGATAATATAAAATTAAATATTTATAACAATCCTTTCATATAAGGTATAACAATCCTTTGATATAAGGTAGACAATTTTTTGAAAAGTTGGCTACAGAAATTGTGCCACAAAAGTTATATTTAAAAAGCTAATATGGAACTAAGAAAAACTAAATGATGAACATATATATATATATATATATATTCCTAATATATATATATATATTCATAAATGATGAATATATATTCCTAATATATATGTTCATAAATGGTGAATATATATATATATATATATATATATATATATATATATTCACTTTGGAAATTTTAAACAATATAGCATAAAGATGCCAAGAAAAAATAATTTTAAGTATTCTGTTCTTTTTCACGTATTTTTTTGTTGTTGTTGTTGTAGATTTGGTGTGTTTGAATATATTTTTAACTTGTTCAATAATGAAGTTTCCTCCTCTAACCAGTTATATGTAGTATCATAACATTTTTCTTTAAGTTTTACAAGAATTCTATTTTATACCAAAGCAACTGAAAAGAAAATTCATGAAAGCAGAAGAGTAACACTTCAGCCCTCGTTTAAGTACAATTCTTTGTGCTCATGAAATGTTTCTAAAGGCAGAGTAAGGGCTGTTAGGAAGACAGATATCATACAAGCATGTCAATCACATTTAATAGGCAGTGTTGGAAGGTAATCTCCTCATCAGTCTCTCACAGACTGGGAGACAGAACTCATTACTGTGCAAATGAACCTGCCAGATGCTTCAGCCATTTGCCTTACTGGAGGTCACAGAGTTGACACCAGTTAAAGCTGACTAAATGTGGCCAGCGAAAAATCCAGGAATAAAAGTAGCTATAGGTTGAAAGAAGCAGTATTATACTGACAATAACCTTAAGGGAGTTTAAAACGTCCTTGTGGAATTTTGAAGAAAAGAGACTTTTTATCTAAGCGGTTGATGTGCTTAAAATTTGTTCTTTCTTTCACTTCGATGGAAATGGTCATTGAACTTTCCAAATAAAATAGTAATAATTTTAGATCAGTATACTTTAACCTAGAAGGGATTATTTTTTAAAAAGTTAACCTCACCAATAAGCTACAGTTTACTGAATCAATTGACTTAAAATCACTAGTGGAGCAAATCTTACTAACACTGATGGCAATTCTAATTATTATAATTAGTCCCTTTTCACTGTTACTTCCTTGGTAGAGATCTGCTAAATATTTTCTTTGTTAATTCACTAAGCTGCATCATTATCTTTATTTTATAACTGAGGAAAACAGAGTTGTTAAAAAGAAGCTGTAATTTGCATTAAGTCATCAGTTTAAAAACAGAAAAGGTCTGGATTCAAGTGAGCCTGAGTCCAGAATTCAATCTTTAGTTTGTTTATTATTTTCTTTTAATTGTTGACTATATTTATTTTCCATAGTTTTGTACTTAATTACTTATTATAGCAATTACACAAGATATTATCCTTTCTGCTATAATGATGAGAAAGTTACTGAGAATTGCAGACAGAAATCTCTGTAAATATCTTATTTTTTTCATAAACTGAACAATTCCTGGCGCATTCAAATATACTGCAGATAAAATATGCTTTTCAAATATGCTCTAGATACAATATATACAGCAAAGACAAGACTTATGTCTAAGGCTATATTAAATAAAAAAGCTATATATTTCTAGGTTTAGTATACATTCTAAAACATCTTTAACAATAAATGGTCTAGGCCAGAACTGACACAGAGAATTTTTATTATGAAATAAAACCTCCACAAGACTTTGAAGAATAAAATATGGAGACTAACCATAAGTTCCTTAGCCCATTATAACTTTCTCATGTTTGCTATAATCCAGAATTTTATGACAACATATTTATGATTCTATGCACTGAATTTATTTTATGTTTTGCTTTATTGCAATTGTAATAAAGCAAATTAATTGTTTAAATATACTATTTTTTTCCGAATTCTGTATATATACAAAATAATTAGTATTATTAGTGTTTTTTCTTTGCTTATTCAAATCATCCATTTATTTGCTGGAAGTGGTCAAAGTAGGAAAGGCAGTAATGCATTTTTTTTATTTAAAGAGAAAAAAGAAAGGAAATAAAATTAAAAAATAAAGCAGCAAAAGTGTACCAATAATACAGAATTTCAAGGAAAAATACATTAAGATATCACTAGTTAATAGGTTACATATTGTCATCTTTGAAATAGTTGTCCAAATTATAAAGTTAAAGCATGTAAAGTGAACATTCATACAATGAGATTGCAGACAATGCCAATCAATGATCCAAGTTCAGTAATATGGATTTCCATCCTACACACTCAAACATGCATGCAGTTATATCCCTTAGACCACCTTCCTTTCCTCTCTCTTTAATAACAATTATACTTTTTGGGTTTTTTTTTTTACTCCCACAATTCTTCTTCTTCTACTTCTTCTTCTTCTTCTTCTTCTTCTTCTTCTTCTTCTTCTTCTTCTTCTTCTTCTTCTTCTTCTTTTTTATTTTTTATTTATTTATTTTTTTTTTGGAGAGAATAAAACCTAACGCAGCTGAGTAAAACACAGTCAGTTAGAGCAAAAGGATGGACATAGTACATGATGTAAAAATAAAATATCAGGTGATCTAAAATGGTTACCATTGTGCCTCTTGCTATTTTTTTAAAAAGTTGCCTATATCGTCAGGTATAATGGAATTGATCAAAACAGTACAGAACAAGACCAATAAAACCTACACTGGAGACCTTACAGGATTTTAAAAGAAGATAATAATCAAACCATAATGGGCATCTTTTTGAAACATCTATGGTCGTCTATCCGTACGCTCCATTACATCAGAAGAACAAAATGGGCTTAACATTTCACTTAAGATAATTCAGCAATAACAGATGTACAAAAACAAATAAAACCAAATCAAACTGTTCTACTAGACTATAGTCATGCTAATGAAAACTTCTTGGAAGATTATGTCCAAAATCCACACTGTAGGTCAATCTTCAAAAAAAAAAAAAAAAAAAAAATGGAATGTAAAACGTTGGGTTCAATTTAGAGATCGTCAATGTCTTCTTCATCATCTCCAATGTCATCAAACTGAATTTCATCATCATTTCCAGGACCAAAAGCATCAGTTTCGTTGATCTTAGTATGCTCAGGAAGCTCACCATACGCCTTCAGACTTCTTGCTTCATCCGCGTTGTACTTTAGAATCACATACGCTTTGTTATCCTGGTAGTCTCGGACACCGACCAGTATGATGTCTGAGGTATTTATCCAAACCTTCTTCCTCAGTTCCCCTCTGATGTGACATAACCTCTTCACACCATCAAAACACATGGCTTCCAATCGGCTATTCCCCAACGTTCTGATTACCTCAGCATATTCTTGCCCATCTTCTTTGAACACCAATTCTCTTTTTTCAGATTCATTCTCATTCTTACCTCTGCGTCTATTTTTACCTCCTATGCTTTTATTCTTGAGCATGGCGATTGTTACACAGGCCACAAGACTTCTCCAACTCCTTCCGAGGTGACTCCTGGAATCCAAGATAGCTTGGCCGCGTTCGATGGGTGCCACAAAAGGCTGCGACGGGTGCCGTGAAGGGCCGTGACGGGTGCCCTGAAGGGCCGTGACGGGTGCCGTGAAGGGCGTGATGGGTGCCGTGAGGGGCCACGATGGATGCCACGAAAGACCGTGTGGCACATGGCTGGTGCTGGAGACTAATGAGCATGCCAGTATTATTACTCTGCTTGTATTACTACTGTTATCAACAGGGTTTTATTTTATACCAACTGATTCGTAGCTTTTTTTTTTTTTTTTTTTTTACTAGAAAACTATTGATTCTGGCTTGTAATACTCTAAGTCATCTGTCTTTTATTTTTTGTTTTTCTTTGTTCTTAGCCCACATATATTTGCATTTGTGTCAGGTAACTAGGTTGTTGGTTTTATTTCTTCAGTATACTTTTTTGTTGGTTTTCAATATGGTCTGATTTGCATGTAGCTGTTTTCCCCAAACTAAGACATCTGGTTAAATACTGAATTAAATTCACAGCGCTTCAATGTTCCTAGCTTTCTTTTCTCTTATTATGCTTAAAATACTAGAGATACTGACAAGGAGTCAATAATAACTACAATTTCTTGCTCTAATAATACATTATATTTTAAAAATGACTTTTACACTATTTCACCTAAAATATTCATATAAGAGAATGAGTTTAAAACTTGTGAATTATATCCATTGTAAAATAAAACCAATGAGTATAATTGTCTGATAGTAGTGCCAAAAATTATGTGTTCTACAGTGTCTTAATCATAAACCCTGGGTGGATACTTTTTTTAAAAAAAGACAAAATCATAAAATTAACAATCTTTATCTAATGTATTTTCCTAGTGAATTTGCCAGTGCTTCTCTAGCCATGATTCTAAAGTTAACCTTTCAAAAGATGAAAGAGCTGAAAATAAACGAATCAGTGTGAGAGGAAAACCGGAAAGATTTTATCTGTAGAAGACGGGAAGAAACAGAATGAAACAGAGACAAAGGGGAAAGATCAACGTTAGGTTAATCATAACAAATATTCTCTCCCAGAAGGGAAGACTGGAAATTAAGAACTAGTGATGGGTAAACCTTTTAAAGTCTGAAGATGAGGATCCTGATAAGAAACAGCATTCTTGTGATTGTCCTAACCTTTCTCATAAAGGTTGAAATCAGATTGGGAATATGAGAACAAGCTTTCTTGTAATGTATTTCTTATTCCAGAGCCAGTCTAGCTGGAAATGCATAGAAGCATGAAAATGCAAAAGAAAACAAACAGAAATAAGCTAACCAAAAGTTTTGAACCTTAAGAGAGGTTCATTTCGTAGATGTAGGTCACTGTTTCATTTGAACCTATTGTTCCCTTGCTTTTGGTAGGAGCTCTTTGTTGTTTTTTGTAAATGAGCCTTCATGGAAATAGTTCGTCATGTCTTCACAAAGGGTTGGCGTTATTATTTTTTCCATTAGTAAGAGTTTAAAGTATCATGGTAAAAATGTTGAAGAAAAGGGCATGGTTTGGATTAGGACACAATGGCTGAAACTGAAAGTAATTAATGAGAACATTCTCACAAATGGTGCAGAGAGCAATACAAATGAATTATGCTATATTATAATATATTCAGGAAACCTTTGAAGGCCAGAAGCTTGACAGCATGATATAAAGGGATCAATGTGCAAATTGCAGTATTACTGCTCTGATTCCATTTTTCTAGAAAGAAACATTGTAATTACAGAGCCAATTATCTCAATCTGTAATAATGCACCAAGTAAGTGTCTACATGTTCATACTGAGGCTTATTTAAAGGGTCAGGGAACAAAACCACAGTTTAGAAAAAGAAAACCACTGAATATCTCAATGTGATATGAAGCACAATCCAGAGTTTTGGCTCTGTGAGAGGCGGAAGAACTTTACATATGTTGACAGTCTATGCAATGTGAAAAAGGAAAACAAAACAAAAATATAGTTTTTTTTTTTCAAAATAAAAACCTCCCACAACACTCACAGAAATATTTTGTCTTTATACAGTAACAGTCAACTGCAGCATAAAAAAGACTCCTGATTTCTGTAACTGAAAAGCCCAGAGGTAATTCTGGTGGTAAGCCTGACCCAGACAGCACTTCAGATCCAGTTTTTTGCTATTATCTCTGCAATGTCTTCTTTCATAATAGTCTCAGGCCTCAGGCTGATGACTGCCACTAGCAGTCAGGCTACAAGTGCTCTGGGTTATACCTCAGTGGAAAGACATCACTACCTCTGATCACCTTTAGGAAAACTATAGATTTAGGCCAGAAAATGCCAGGTCTTACTGATGCTACTACTCATTCCTCAATCAAATCTTCCACAAATGGACAAGAGAATGTTGATTAGATGATGTCACTGAGGAGCTTGTTGTAGGTTTAATATCATCAAAAGCATAATATGAATAAAGTTGGGGAAATGATTGTTTACCAAAGGAAAATGTGGATGCTTTTAAAATAAGTGATACAGCTAATACACAGGAAAGTAGTAACTAGCTTATATAATAATCCAGATACAGAGACAAGCTTGATAAAATATTATGAAAATGGAACAACATAAAATTACTTTATTTGCATCTGTATTATTAATTCAATCTGTTTAAATTTAAATTTAACTTTCCAAAAGTATCTTATGCTTATAAAATTAAATCTTCATACCATTTGCATCACAAGAAACTCTGAACTTAGTCATTTATTATTACTACTTATTAATGTTTCCATTCATATTTTGTCAGTCTTATTCTCCAAATCAAATTATAAACAACATTCTCAAGAAAAGTACATACAGAATAGCACAATATGCAATTAAAGAGGCAATTTTATTACAAAAACAGAGTAGTAGGTATAAGTTGGTGACTAGTAAGATATTAAACTTAGAAATAAATTCTAATGTTTCAAAGAACAATAAGGTAACTATAATTAACCAAATTCTACATTATATCTCAAGATAACAATAGTGCAGTTTGAGTGTTTCTAAAAGCAATAAATGAGATAGCAGAGTAAAGACAAGCAGAAAAATGCTGTCTCCTTTGAGAAACGTAGAGGAGAGACATCTGGAAAACAACAACTTGGTAAAGAAAAAAATGTTACTGGGTTTGGGGTGCTAGAGTCTCCTAGAAGTGGTTTGTAGATTCTTTCTGTCCCGAGCAAAGAATTGCTCAAGACAAATACAAAAACAAAGTTTCACGTTTATTGAAAGTAGGAAATGAAACAGGGAGGGTTTGGCCAAGTAAACATTAAGAAAATAAATATACTCTACAACATGAGAACAGACTTCTGTGAAAGAACACAGTAGTCCAGTTCTCAACAGTGATCCTTCTTTTGTATGTCCTACTCCTGTGGCTGATGTCAGGTTGAGGTTTTCCTAACCAAATCTGGTTTATTTCTAAAAAGAAGTCCATGTACAGGGCTTTGGAAACTGTTCTGACCATATATCTTGGAACTTCACAATTAATAGGTTATTCACATTTTCTCAGTCAGTATTCAATGCCCAAATCTGCCTTAGTAGATCTCTAGGAACCAAGAAGAAATAAGTGAGATCTACAGAGAAATTGATGAAATAGGTCACAAAGCGGAGAAAAAAATTGAAGCAGTCTGGAAAGCTAACCTGGCCACTGGGGGATGGAGACTGTCTCTGAAAGTCAAGGTAAGCCAGAAGTGGGCCAGCAGCTCCAGGAAGAAACAAAAAGAACACATGTGCTAGCCCGAAGAAAACTCAGTTATTGTAAATTGCAAAAACAATGTGGAATTTTGTACCAAATGACTCCTTCTTCATGGCACCCTAGAGCTGCAAAATAAATCCAGTGAATCATCCACCGTATTTTAGAATTTATAATCAGGTCATTTTGGGAGGAAGTCAATTCTTCAAACCTGAAGAACAGAACAACTACACTTCAGGGTTTTGGGAAGCACCTATCTAACGTGGGTGAGTTAGAGAAGGTATCAAGAGATAGTGTCTGCGAGAGTGTAGGTTAGACATAGAACTGAAAAGTTTAAACTCAGAACCAGAAAGGAGGTCAGAATACCGCATCAGAACTGAGAAAATAGCTCTTCTTCTGTGGCTTTAGGGTGCATTGGATCTGAAAGAGCTGGCACCAAGGCCAGCAGATTGCTTGACACCCCTTCCCTGCTGCCTTCATTCAACACAGTACTCAGAGGTCTTCTTGTTTTTTTCTGTCTGCCAACGTGAGGAGGGTTACGCCCTTAGCTTGGATGGTGGCCACAGCCTGAAGTGTGCAGACAGAGGCGCCTGTGGAGCAGGGGTAGGGAGGATGGGGAAACTCACAAATTTATCAGCCAACAAGTTAGGCAGAGGAAGCTGTGACAGAGGGACAGGAAAACTGGGAGTGGCTGGAATGAATACAAGAACAGACACTTTTGGAAAACAGATTCCGACAGGAAAGGTGAGACAGGATTCAGCTTTCTCACAGGAAAATCTGAAGGTGGAAGCAAAATAGGTCTTAGAAGTGACTTTTAATAAGTCTTCTAATAGGAAACAAACTAGGTCTTAAAAGTGACTTAGAAGTGAAACCATTCTTTCAAAAATCACGGAAAAAGACTTTATGGACTAATTTTTTTTTTTCAACATTGATCTCATTTCCTTTTAAATGACACACAGCCCCATAATTCTTTATGGGATGATAAAGTCGTGGAGGCTTCCATTGTTACATAGCTACTTTCTACTGACCTGGTTATGAGATCTCAAACTTCCTTGGTGTGCTTTTACTCACAGGCTAGTTTGGAAAAAAAAAGTGATGATGAGAAGAGTTCTGAAACATTGAGCTGTCCGTTTTATGGCAAAAGCTTTATGTACTTTTCTATTAAACAGGGATGTAGAGATCCAAATATGACAAGGTCCGATTTTCATGGTTACTTTGTAATATAGCAAAGAGAGATGTTAGATAAATTATCTAGAGCCCAAAGACTGTTGCCC